TCCACCTCCAGGGTAATGGTCTTCCCCGTGAGGGTCTTCACGAAGATCTGCATGCCACCGCGGAGACGGAGGACGAGGTGGAGCGTCGACTCTTTCTGGATGTTGTAGTCCGCAAGCGTACGGCCATCCTCGAGCTGCTTGCCCGCGAAAATGAGCCTTTGCTGGTCGGGAGGGATGCCCTCTTTGTCCTGGATCTTAGCTTTGACGTTGTCGATGGTGTCGGAGCTTTCGACCTCGAGGGTGATGGTTTTTCCAGTGAGCGTCTTAACAAAGATCTGCATCTGTATCAGAGAAGACAAGGAATTGGCATCAAGTATTAGCAGAGCACTTGACGCAAGATGACCGAACAATTCGAGAAACGGGAATCGAATCGCACCAACATGTAACCACCCACGGAAATCAAGAAAAGAATCGAGATCCGATACGCGAGGGATTCATCAACAACAACAGGAAGCGATCATCAGTAAAATCGTCACATAACCCTAGTCAGATCCGGAAAGGACCATAAACAAGAACCACATCCAATCCCCCCTCCTCCCCCAAAAAAAAAAATCCAACAGCATCGAATCAAGAAGACGAACAAGCCGATCTACAAGGGCTTAATACAAACAAGAACCAGGATCCAATCGGAAATAATCAGCGCAATAGATCAGATGTTCTCAAAAAGTCCCTCATCTCATCAAATCAATATCAACAGACAACCCTTATAGATCTATTATTCCACTACGCAAAGATCAGCAGACGATAATCGACATAATTTCAAGAAGAAAACAGAGAATAATCGACATCAAAAGCGCAAAAGAAGAGAAAGGGTAGAAAAATTGATACCTTGCAAGGCGGCGAAAAGTAAAGCTTTCTTTTTTGGGGAGATTGGGAAAGAAGGAGAGAGGGAGGAGACGTATTAATAGCAGGCGGAGTCGGTGACCCGACTCCCTCCCCTAAGACTTACCACTCACCGCCCATTGTTTCCGCGCAATTTAGACCGCACGCGTGGTGGTTACCTTATCGAACGCCGAACGGGTGACGCGGCGATAACGGTGGAAGTCTCCGCAACGGTGACGGGACACTCCGGAATCCGAGACGAGCCCGAGGTAAGTCTCCGTTTCCTGACGCCGTTAAAGATAGCGGCAACAATAAAAGAGTCCATCTACCCGCACGGTCTACCCCATAGCGTGCGCACGCCTCAAGTGGGACCGACCAGTGGGCCGAGGTTATCTCCAATCGCGACGACAAGCACCAGTGTAGGGGAAGCTGAACGTGACGTGACTAATACGCTCGCGGAGTTGCGGTAATCTGGAAGTCTTGGCTAAGGGATGATCAGGACCGTCGATTCTATCACCTGCGTCAAGATAGCCGGACACGCACTTATATATACGGATTTACCTATATATATATATATATATATATATATATATATATATATATATATATATATATATGTCTCATGTTATTGATAGCTAAATCCAACTGATATATTCTACTCTGATTACATTCAGATGGAAGATAAGCACCTGATGCTTCCTTGCAACTATTTGCAGTGATCTTTTGGTGAAGGAATCACACTTGCTTGTATGCTGTATCGACTTTTATAGGAAAATTATTATTTCTTTGGTCCATCAAAGATCAACATGATAATGGATATTATACATATATATGTATGTACATATATATTGCATGGCTAGCTAAACATGTCAAGATTCAATAACCCAACACGAACCAAGGAACAAGCAATGCATATTCTCAAAACATCAAAGCAAAGCAAACTCTACAGAAACTGAATGCTTTTGCACCTCCAACCCCATCACATCACATCCCATCCTTGGGCACAAGGCAACCATATGCTTTGCTCCAGTGGCCAACACATCCACCACTACAAGTACTCCCGTTCACCCACTCACTGCATGCAACACCACCGCCGTGGCCGTCATGGGGAACTCAGAGGGCTTGCTGCTCATCTGCCTCGCTCTCCTCTCAGCCATGGCCGGTGCAACCCAGTTTAGAGTCGGAGGCTCCAAGGGCTGGTCTGTGCCTGACCCTGATGCAGTCTCCTACAACCAGTGGGCTGAGAAGAACAGGTTCCAAGTGGGAGACTCTCTGCGTAAGTTGGCATACGTACATAGCCTCGTGTCATCTGTGAACGACCGAGATGCATGAGCTCTTCTTACGGTCCTCGTTGGTCCATCCTTGACAGTGTTCGTCTACCCTCCCGTCGAAGACTCCGTCCTTCTCGTCGACAAGGACGCCTACGACGCCTGCAACACGAACTCGTTCATCGACAAGCGCGACGACGGCAACACCGTCTTCACCTTGAACCGGTCGGGTCCTTTCTACTTCATCAGCGGTGTGGAAGCCAACTGCATGAGGAACGAGTCGGTGGTGATCGTTGTCATGGCGGATCGGACCAATCGGAGCTCCTCCTCCTCGAGCCCGCCGCCTTCTCCTTCGGCAGCCTCTTCGCCGCCGCCTCCTCCCGAATCAGCTGAGGCAACACCGGCACCGGCACCAGCTCCGGCCGAGGAGGAGCCCAACTCTTCTCCACCTCCACCAAACGCGGCTTCTTCGAGGGTGGTGGGCTTCATGGGCTCGGTGGGGTGCTTCATTGGATCAATCATCCTCGTTTTGTGAAGTGTGGCTTGAAGGCATCTCTTTGCTATGCGTTTTTGGTTCTATTGCCCTGATCCGAGTGCGAATTGCTGGGAATAAGCTGTTTCAGTGCAGCAGCTATTGGATTGATACAAATTAACTACATATATATATATATATATATATAT